ATGAGTGAGCAAAAAGAGATAGCATATTTAAAATGCATATTTACTGGTTTATCTCACGCTCAGAAATGTAGTTGGCTAATACGACACTACAAAATTCTTTTACATTATCTTTGATGCACTAAGGATGACAATGTTTATAAGCTTAGTACATCATGACTATGGAATGCCTAAATTGTTCTTGAAGACAGATGGTATTTGCTGTTCCCTTGCTGAGAGAGTGGGCTTTTGGGGTTTGGGGGGTTGGTTTGTTTGTTTGTTTGTTTTAATAGGATAAGAATATAAAGTTCCCAAAAGCTCACTAAGAGCTGTTTCTTTGGAAAGAATTTGCTCACTTACTCCCTTTCCTAGCTTTCTGTTGAAAAGTTCTCAGATACATTTCCTGCCAGCCCTCTCCCAAAGCTAGACCGAGTATAGAAAACTGCACTGATTCTTTAGGCTCTCCCAGTAAATTCACAGAAGGATATTCTGTACATTTTCTGGGTTGTCAAGCCAGCTCTACATTAAAATTAAGTATAGTCGGGTAGGGATATAATTTTAAACAACGTTGTAGATGCCTTGCAATAAACACCAAAGCTGTTTTAAACTATCTTAGTGGTACTTTTGTCAGTATAGCATATATCCCTTGAGGAATTCATCAAAGGTGTGTTGGCAAAAGTGGGGTTTGTTCTACCTGCATTAGAGTTATCATCGTTGTCAGTGTAGTTATACCAGGACAACTACATGAGCAACTCTTTTCTATTGTAGTTGCTTTTCATATCGTTAACAAACATGGTTAGAGAGGAGAACTGAGCACAGCTTCCCTTGACAACCTGTGTAAGCCTTGCGTTTCTTCTACAATATCACCTCTGTTAATATTAATAATGTCATGGCCTGTTGCAGTGGAATACCTTGCCTTTCACCCTCCTTCTTTCAGCTTTATTGACTTTCTTCAAAGCTTTGATACAGAAGAATAGGAATCAGCCCAGATATGACCAGCCCAGGCTGTTCCACAGCGTCCTTCACGTAGCTGAGGTCTCCCTGTGCTACTACAATGGAGCTTGCCTCAATGGGTGAGCTGTAGAAATCAGGAGAGGAGAAGTATGTATTTGAATAGGCCTTGCAATGCAGTTAATAGCAGCCAACATGAGGACATGGCATGATCTGACTGTTGATTCATTAGTACCTTGGATATTTTGGCCTGATAACTGTGTGTGTTTCTTCAGTTTGTGTTCTTTTCATCAGCTTGCAGGTAGATCAGGAAGGCTTTCATTTTGTTTTTTTAATATCTCCTCTCACAAACAACAGTCCATTTTCTACATAAAGTGTCTAATCACAGTAATATAATATCCTGTATTTACATAGTAAACTTCATCCCAAAGCACTTTACAGCCTGGCACTGACATAGGACTAAGATTAGAAGAAGAGAAGCAGCTTATACTGATTAGGAAGAAGGCTCTGCTCTCAGCCTAGGTATTAGGAAAGCATACAAGGTGGACTCTTAATATTTTCTCTAAATCCAAGACAATTTACTAATATTTGGAAAATATATCGGTGTAAGCTGTGCTCTGTTTAACTCTAGGAAACGTGTTTGAACTGTAGAAAATAAGCTGTAATAGAGAATGTCAGTCATCCTGCACACCCCGTTCTCAGTTCATAGGACACTGACTACCAAAAAACAGTTTTATTGGAAAACTAATGTGATGCAAAGTTCCTCAGCAAGTGTACACTGGCCTTTGGAGAGCTCTGCCAAAGGATGGTTAAGGGGCCTGGCCTCTTCCAAGGTTTGGCTCCAGAGCACAAGAGTAGCATCAGAAGCTTTGCTAGCCAGAATGAGAATGAGAGTCTGGACGTGGGTAACTAGAAGGACAGCCAGGCAGGGAGCAGGAAGAGGTTCATTACATACAAGGCAATCCATTTTTAGCAAGTCTGTGAAATTAGTTCATACTGAATTAATTATGTTGATTTGTTTTGTGGATTAAACGGGTTTCCAGTTGGTTGTTCGCTGGAGGAAATAGTAACTTTGTGATCTCATTCTGACACACTGGCATTGAGGTTTCTGTCATTCTTGTGTGTTTCAGATGGAAAGGATCAAACAAATTTAACCTTGGAAGGAACCAATCCTGCCCTGCAGACCATACGAGTGAGGAACACTGCCTTGAAAGATACTTTACTTGATGCTGCTTTACCCAAAACTTCTGGTGAGACTCGGAGCAATACATCCAATCTGTAGCAAGGACAAATGAAACCTTCACTAAGAAATGAATGAATGACAACATTGGTTTTCAAAATCTGGTGAAGCAGATAGTGGGCATTCTTCTTCTTTTGCCTCTTCAAAGACTAACTTGAAAACCAAGTGCTGTTCTTTGTATGTGTGGGGCCATACTTAACTCTGAACATATGAAAATCCTATATTTTGTTCAGGTTAATTTAAGTGACATAGTAATAAAAGCCTCTGAACAACACACATGCTACTGAAGAAGCATAGGCCACACATGCCTTCCTAATTCACCCCGTCACCTCACCCGTCTGGAGGAACAGACAGTGAAGCACACAGGAATGCTTGGTGTCCACAGCCCATGACATACTGAACTCATGGCTTGTGCTTTCTAAGAGAAATTATAAACCCACTCATTGGCTTGATTTAGAAGCAATAGTTCAGTGAGCTCTTATTCCTGTAACTCACTTGAAAATCGTCAGAGATGATGTAACGGAGTTGCTAATAGCCAGGCTCTGACGGTTCAGTATGGAAGGAGAACAGGTAGCAATCCAAAAGACAGGAAGATCAGTGTGTGTTACAGCTGCTTGGCTTCCTCTGTCTTCAGAGCACTTTTAAAGTATTCACAATGTGACTGCAAACCACCGAACTATTTACTCGCCTTACAGACTTAGAGAATGTATGACTTGTTCAAGGCCACTGAAAGCATCGCTCTCTGTGCTGTGATCAGGATCAGGTTGTTCCCAGCTCTCAAGCCTCACATCCCTAAGGGAAAGCCATGGGTTCAGTTAATGCCGACTGCCGATGCACAGTTGTCATTGGCCTGAGAGGCTGGTTCTGTCCTCTGCAGTCACAGGGAAAGCCTCCCTGAGCAACCTCTTGAAAAACAGAGTAACCTGTACAGAAATATGGGAGGTCCAGAGTACTGCCGAAGTGGCTGTAGGTAACCCAGCAAGGAAATCAGCTGCAGTGAGGCCACCTGTGGTAGTGCGATGAGCAAGTTGCCATCTGCTCTTTGGTAGGCAGTCTTTGGGTGAGAGATCCTAGGGAGCACGTGGCCCGTATTAAAAAGTACTGCACGCCCTTACTGTAGCAGTGCAAGACACGGAGGAGCTGATGGGATGTGGAAACTGATGTTGTGTCACTCCCAGCCACCAAACAGGATGGTATGGAGAAGGCAGCTCTGCAGCTATCTGCTTACATGCCCGCTGCTGAAGCTTTGGGCTCTCCTTTAACAAGGAAGTCACAACAAGGAAGCTACTCCATTTCAATAAGCTAGTTTTAAAAAAGCTAATACATTTCACCTTGGGGAAGAGCAGTTCTCCAGCTTCAGCATTACCAGTTGTGTGCTTTGAAGAGACCTTTGTAAAATTTAATTTTAATTTTGTTTTAACCGAAGTTTAGTTTTTCTTCTTGAGAGTGCAACACTACTGGCCCTTCACTCAAACCCTGCTGAGCTTGCTTGTAGCCATTTTATCTGAGTATCTTGTAAATATTTGGTAGAGCACTCAGACACAGGAGTGGTTTTGCTCTTACAGTCACATGCCTGGTTCCAGGATCTCTCAGAAGCACAAAAGACTGAAGGCAGGGAAAATTCCACTGAGATGCATTTGAGTCTCCAGGGAGCAACTGCAGCCTGTTTAGACTAAAATTTCTCATTGCTGCCTCTCCATTTTTTTTTTTTTAAATACAGAAGGATAGAGAGGGGAAGCTGGAGGGTAGGGTTTTTTGTTATTAGTAACACCGAAATGCAAGCACTGTTTCACCCATTTCTCTCATATTGCAGGACCATTTGCGGTTGGAGAGGGCGATAAGCTTTTTAATGATCTCTGCACTACCTGGGAAATTTCCATCCAAGTTCTAAAATGTTTTACAAACATTAGTGAATTAGAGCTTAATCTTCTTCTCCTCAGCCCCATGAAGCAAGTACTAAATACAAGTTTAAAGACAGGGCGAACAAAACTAAAAAAGTGGTGCTTTGCCTGAAGTCATGTGGGCAGCGTGGCAAGTGGACTCAGGTCTTTGAGTCCCAGCGTTCTGCCTTACACCACAGACAGCACACATTCCCTCCCTTTTCAAGGCTTGCTGTACTTCCCCTTCTGGGATATAGTGAAAACATGCTGGCATCACACCTTGAGATAACCTTGCTTTTTCCCCCTTGGAACAGAGAGACTACTCACAGCTTCTGTCCCATGGGATTAAGACGTTGAAAAGATCAGAGAGGGATGTGAGGGGGGTGGGGGAAAGCTGCTCTGTCTGCCTTGGGCATATTCTGCCCCTGCTGCTGCCAGAGGAGTTGGTGTACTGTCAGGAGCTACCTCAAACATTTTTGTATGTGCTTCCACATAACATTCAGGCAGGACTGTGGTAAAAATGCCATAATCAAAGAGAGAACTCAGCTGACAAGAAAATTGGACAGATGAGCCACTCCTGTATTGAATATATGTGATTTCATTATCCTTCAGTATGTGACCTGCATTTCTTACTGCTTCTTATTATCAGTATCGCATAGCTACTCCAATAGCCATCCTCTTTCACCTCTTCGGAAGAGAGGTGTAATCCATCAGCCGGTTCCTCTCCAGTGGTATGAGTCAGGTTTTTACCAGGGGGATTAACGGACAGTTGAAGAGAGTTATTCCCAACAGGGCTGAGCAAAAAGCAATGTGCACATAAGCCATGAAGTGTAAGGGAAGGAAACAAACCTATAGATTTAAAGGTTTTGAATTTCTTTTCCTTTAGCTGCCCTTGTCCACACTGATCGATAACCAGATGTGCAAAAGGTGGAAATGTATTGACGGTGGCTGGTGTAAGCGGACTGAGAGCTTCTCCCGCTGTGCAAACGAACCTGGTCAGTCAGCCCCCAAAACCAGATCAGTGCATATCAGCTATTCCAGCTCTTGTAAGTGAGAGATGCTGGGAGAAAAATCAGATCACAGTGCAGCAGCCTCCTCCTGTCTCTCCTGTGACCCTGCGGTATACCCCGGCACTAGCACCTTTGGCCTCTTCATGCTGTTACCTTCTGTGACCAGGCCCCAGCGCTGGTTCTTGGGTATGCTTCTCTTCTAGCAGCCCTCTCCCCGCAGAGGATCCAGACTCACTGCAAATGCTGTGCACAGTGCTCATTTCATTCCCCGCTGAATGGCAGCCAGGCCTGAGGTGAAACATGGCAAGCGCTTTGCCATGCCTGGCAACTCCACACAGCTGCTGAAAACAAGCAGGGAAAAAAGCAGTGTACAAACGCAGGGGCATTTTCACATAGGCAGGATGTAATTAGCAGAGCTGGAATTTGGCCAGGATGCTGGGGTTAAAACGCTGGCTTGCAGGTAACACACTGGGATCTTTCATAATTCAAATGCTCAGGATCTCCCGTTTCCATCCTACCTGGAAGATGTCAGAAGACCGTTCCCTATTTAATGTTCCCGGGCAGCTCTTGAACATCTGACACAAAGGAAAAAGTGTCTAATGGTGCTGCACCTGCAGTGCTTCTCCGCCAGCAACTGCCCACCACGAACAGCAGCTGGAAGAATCACATCCTGACAGGGCTACGGCGGCATCGTGGTAAGACACACCACAGCTGCCTCCATGCCTTGGGGTTCACACCACCCTTAATTTACGTTACTCAGTTTTCAGGCCCGAAATCCCCACCAAACAGAAAGAAAAGACAATAAAATTCAGGCAGACCCTCACATGTAAAATACAAGAGAGAATATCACCATTAGGTACTGCTTCAACCTTATTCTCTGCCGCTTGAAATAGTACCAAATTGGTATCGGACAACAGAGAATTCGATGAAGTGTTTCTCCCCGGTGCAGATGAGCGAGCTTTTCCAACTGGCCTTGCCGGTAATACACAAAGCGTTAAGAGCGCATGCTTCCTCTTTCCTTCCAGCAGAGAAATCACGTTCAAAGCAGCAAAACGTTTTTTTCCCCTTCATGATCTCACTTTCCGTATAAGCAATCTTTGTGTTTACTACGAGGTTGTTGAATGTCCACAAAAGGTCAAGGAAGTCATTCATGAACCTCACGTGTGGAAAGTCCACACGACGTTTCTACCACGATGTGGCCCACAGTCTGAAATATAAATAATTGCTAACCTTTAACCCCTCATCCGTCAGACCTGCAGACCGTGTACCTTTTGAAGAGCTGACTTCCTCCCTGTGGTGCAGTGCGTGCAAGCAAAACAAGAGGTGTTCCTGCCATCCGAGAAAGCATAATCTCAGCATCGGCAAGTCAGAAAAAAAGGACCCCTACTATGCCTGTGAGGGCTCCCTGTATCGGTTTTTGGTTTTGTTGCGGTTTTTGTATGCCTAGGCTGCCGTGCAAGTCCCCCTCTGTCAAGTCTTGCTTAATATGACCAGCAACCCAAACTTGCTGAGAGCACCTCAGTCAGTGGGATAACAAACCTACAGACTGACTCAAATGGCAAAATGAGCTGGAGAAGGGAAAGTACAGGCAGCTGCAGGCAACAGGAAATCCAGCACTAATAAATAAAACGTTCTTATAGCCAGCAAGAGGAAATAAACAGCAACAGCGCAAACTGAGAGGACAGAAGAGAGGAACACAGCATAACTGTGGGGTGGGAATCACTGCATTACAGTGAGCTTATTTTTACAGAACGGCGTCCCAGTTTGTTATGTGTTCAGACTGCAAAAAAACAGTGGGGGAGCGGGAGGACTGCTCAAAGAGAGGGTCTCTATCAGAAGAAGTTGTCAACAACCACTGTAATTAAGGAAGCAGCCAGAGAACACACAACCTGAGCCACTGCCAAAGTGAAATGAAAGCATTTTTTGTTTGCAGCCGTAGCCCCGAAGGATAATAAGAGATGCTTCCACCATGCCAAGTGAGGAGCTGCAAGGGACACCACTTCTAGATGGCAAATGCCCTGCTCCCATCTTTCCAAAATTACACGCTGTGGGGAGGCAGCAACTTACTCTTCCTACGCGCGCTTTCGAAGCACATGCCCGCATGCCATGTCTGACTGCAGCAGCCGCCTCGGGAGGGCAGCCACCGGGCAGG